CTTGTTCATAGAAAACATGATGTAAGTAAAGGAAAATGAGAAGAGTAACCTATCAAATCTGCTATATTCTTGCCATTAGTGAATCTCCCAGTCGGCCCTTGTGGAAAATCAATTCCATAAGGCAAATAATTGACTTTTGCACTGGTATTCAAATTATTATTATTTCCATTATCCACTAACGAGTCACCAAAAATGAAGTAGCAAGGAAATTTTGGTTCAGCAGAGACTAATTGTGCCTTTAAACTTAAGGATACTCCTACAATGAAAAACTGGATGAACCAGACTTTTAGATTATTTTCCATTGTTGAAGGAAGTTTAAGCTCAAAGTGGCTTATTGAAAATGAGTGGTAGACAGGGACGGTAAGACTGGCAACTGATAATATAATATATACAGGCAAGGGGTACCGGGTACCTCATGATAATTAGTAGTAAATGGTAAGGGGCAGTCTCTTGATTTTTCTGGGGTATCATAAATTACCCTCTTGGTTTCTCTTCAGCCATGAAAATCGCAGGTATCTTAAACACGAGGAACATACCCGACCTTCAATAATGTAGAAAGAAACGCTATGATATGACACAAAAAAAACTGTACACACGAGTTCTTGAACTTAAAATTTTTACTTAAATCTAAGAAAAAATTAACTTATTCGAACATCTTTGGAAATCAAAATTTTGTATGTCCGAGAAAGTTGATTTTTTCTTAGATTTGAGTAAAAATTACATTTTCAAGAACTCGTGCGTACAGTTTTTGTGTCATATCATTGTATCGTTTCTTTCTACATTTTTGTAGGTCGGGTATGTCCCTCTTGTGTTTAAAATACATGTGATTTTCATGGCTGAAGAGAAGCCAAGAGGTAATTTATGACACACCAGAATAATCATGAGGTGCCCCTGCCATGTAAATAGTGTCACTTGCCAGTCGTATTGTCTCTGTCGACCACTCATTTTCAATAAGCCACTATGACCTTAAATTTCCTTCAACAATGGAAAATAATTAAGCTAATATCTGGTTCATCCAGTTTTCCGTTGTAGAAGTATCCTTAAGTTTAGAGGCACAATTAGTCTCTGCTGATCCAAAATTTCCTTGCTACTTCATATTTGGTGGCTTAAATGGTGGATAATGGAAATTATAATAATTTGAATACCATTGCAAAAGTCAATTATTTGCCTTATGGAATTGATTTGCCAACTGGGATATTCACTAATGGCAAGAATATAGCGGATTTGATAGGTTAGTCTTCTCATTTTCCTTTACTTACCTTCACTTACATCATGTTTTCTATGAACAAGTATGTCCTCATATACTTTTAAGAAAAGCTGCTTTTGTTTTGAGTGAAATTTCATGACAGGTAAACTTCTGGGATTTGAAAATTATCTCTCACACACATACAAAGGATAGGTTAGTCTTCTCATTTCCTTTACTTACCTTCACTTACATCATGTTTTCTACGAACAAGTATGTCCTCATATACTTGACTCTCGGGACATAGTCCAATAATGTAAAGGACATGAGTGAGGTTATCTCACGTCTTGCTGCAGCCGCAGTGTGGGGGTTCGATTCCTGATACATGGAATTGAACTCCTTGTAGGCGCAGTGTACAGACAGTTCTTGTTCCCTGGCCTGTTGGGGCACATCTCGCGATTTACCTCCCTCACAAGGCTCTAGGGGCGGAGCGGTGGAGGCCCTCAAGGTTGAGGTTCAACCTTTAAGTATGTCCTCATATACTTTCAAGAAAAGCTGCTTTTGTTATGAGTGAAATTTCTTCACAGGTGAACTTCCGAGGTTTGAAAATTATCTCTCTTACACATACAAAGTTGTGAAGACTGTGCAATTGTGTAGAGTCTAATTATACTGTAACTTATCCATCCTCTCCGAGTGCGACGTTTGTTATCATATTGAGTATTCATATACATATTACATCACCCCCATCATAAAGAATTTTAGGAGGCTAATTTTTGGTGTATAATGTGAAATAGTGAAAAACTACGGCGACAAATTAGTAACCCGAAACTAAGAAGCATAATGCATTGCTACAACATACTCAGCCCATTGTCTTCGAGAGCACAACTTGCACGGAGAACTAACATCCGAGATTGACAAATTTCTTAGCTAATGACTATATATTTATATAGCCTTATATTGAGCATACTTATAAAAAAGATAAATATTTGTTGCTTTGAAGGTTGCTGTGATCAGCATGAACAAGTAATTAGTAAATCACAAAGTCATGATGTCAAAGATTGCAGCCTTAGTTGGAGGTGAAAAGTTTACTTTAAACTATCTAAACAAGTGCATACAAGCGATCACTTAAACAATTACTACTTACCACAATTTTACTCTTTAAGCAGCCTAGCTATATACACCAGAGCTATTTGCTGTGATTCTTATCAGAATTGTAACAGCTAAGAGTGAGCGTTTCTTTCTCTTACACTTTTTACATATTCGGTACACAAATTTTGTCTGTCATTTCTTAGAAATTTGCAGTTGGGTGCCAAAACTTCAAAAATATAGTACGTCAATCCCTGATCTTTTTATTTTTCTTTTTGGTTTCCAACAACTTCAATTTTGGTATATGTCAATATTATCGGATGCAATTCATCAATTTTGCCATCAAACAGTCACTGGTTTGAGCGTGATGACTTATTTGGAGGTTTCTATTTTTTATTTCTCAAGAACAGTTAAGAATATGGGAAGTGGACTACTGACTTTTAGGTGCTGATGTCTTTTCTTTTCCCCTTTGTAACCTTTTTGAAAGGAAAAAATGTGTAGACGAAATAACCCTTGAGCAAGTCATCATTTGCAAAGCAGGTAACTGTTCGACAGAAAAACCGAATTTCTACATGTTGGAACCGGCATCAAAGATGAAAAGTTTGGATGCTGAAGTCTATAAAGAACTTACTGGGAATTTACGAGCTTTATTTGTTGAAATTTAGAGGCTGCACCTCCAATTTTTCCTTAATCCGATACAATCATGTTCAGTTCAACATACCAAACACGTTCTACTTTAATTTTACACATACTTTTACTTTATTGCAGAAGTTGTATAAATATGGAGTAAGAAAAGTAGCTGTACATAGATAGCTTTGTATGGCTCGAATGACTCATTGTGCGTGAAACCAATCAATAATGCCGCCAAAATATTTGAAATATTGAACGGCAAACTGAAGAAACTTCTTGATTATCTAAACTATCATATCGCATATGCAAATTTCATAGACACAAACACTGGTACTGATTCATATGGTGTGCTTCTCCTTCCCTACTTTTATGCATTTAATTTTTTGATTGTCGTGACAACATCAATTTATTTAAACTTATTCTTCAACAAAAACTGTTCAATTGGACTAGTCGTTACTACATTATTACAGGAAACATCACAGATTTGAGCACTCCACTTTGGGCTCCATCAAATTAGGACACTGTCTTCCTGAAGCTGTTCCGTGCAATAACAGAGACAACTACATGTTTTGGGATGGATTCCATCCTACAGAGGCTGCTAATTTACTTTCTCCTGAAAAGGCATACCATGAAATTGTTGAGACCGATTGACCAATAATGCAGGAATTGAGATTTAATGAATACAAGTTGTTGTAATTGAAGTATTGAACAAGATCACAAATAATCCAAGAACAAGATAACTGGCAGAAGGAACGATGTTTTATTAATTCACTATGAAATGAGAGCACAATACAGCAAAAGGCTTCTAACAATACTGAAAGAGGAGTCCTATATTTATAGTACACGAGTCTTGACAAAATATGGAAATTAAAAGAAAAAAACGTGTAACACGGCACACATTTTTGATTTTTCTTCCTTATTCCTTTGATTCTTTCCATATTAACGTGTCTTAGATTGGATACCAATTGATCCCATTTCCTTTTGTCTACCACTTTGATATTTCCAAGTTTAAGGATCACACGCAATCTTCAATATTTTCTTATTTTGAGGCACAAATTCAACAATCTCCACCTTGACTCAAAATCCAGTGTAATGAACGAAACTCCAAAATTTCTCCACTTTAAGAAATAATACGTCTACATCAGAATAACCAAACTCCTCGACACAGTAACCAAACTTTCCACGATAACACATTCCCCCGCCCGGCGTCCACAAGTGACACCCGAATCCAAACCCGGGTTCCCAAAATTCCTCCTGGAATTAACAATCACTGGATAGGGTTGAAGTTTACCCTGTAGCAGAAACCACACCAAATGCACAATCAGAAGGTCCCTTGTCAATATTGTCACCTTCAATGATTTCTAAAGTATTACAGACATCTCCAAAATTGTACCTACGCTCCATGAGTCCATTGGCATTACAAGAACACAATGTACCCGCTAAAATTGGTAGCAAAACGGAATCACCAACACTCTCTTGAGCAAAGTTCTTAACTAACCTAGAGCCAAACCCGAGAGGTACTGTATCAAATTGAATGTCCATCACGGTACTAAATTTTTCCAAATGTCTCTAAACTGGTTTTGCGCTCCCCTGCAAGATGTACAACTGGGATTTCCTCCATCCCTCCAGTACAACCTGGACACCCATTCGAACCTTCAAGACTCCACCTCCACCAGAAAATTTTTACCCTTTTTCATCCAAGGTACTAAGTGATATGAGATTCTTTGTCAAGTCTGGAACATGGCGAACTTGATCAAGTGTCCTCACTGTTCCATCCTGTAGCCTCAATCTGACTCGACCGATTTCTGCAACTTGGCAAGATTGGTTGTTTCCCATGACAACTCCACCTTGCTTCACTATCTTATATGTTTGAAACAAAGCCCTATTGGGACACATATGATACGAACAAGCAGAATCCAGAATCCACTCCTCAGATTTGGATTCCCCGTCAGATGCAGCCAACATCACATCTCCATCATCACAAAAATTTTCAGCAATATTAGTTTCGTTCGAATTACCTGATTGCCCCGCATGATTTGCATGTAAATCACCTTTACCTTGCAACTTGTCGCAATCTTTCTTGATGTATCCTTTCCTCTTGCAGTAATAACAATACACATTGCTGTACTTCACCTTCGATCTACCCCTCTATCGATCACCATGAGTAACAAGAGCATCCCCACTCCTAGATGCAGGATCTCCAACCAACAACTCCATCTTCTCTTTTGAGAACAGGGCGTCGTATACCTCCTCAATGGATAACGTGTCACGACTATACAAAATAGTATCACGAAATGACGAAAACGAATTGGGTAGCGAACACAACAGGACCAAGGCTAGATCATCTTCATCATATTTTACCTCCAACGTCTCCAAATCTGCAACGATCTCCTTGAACACAGCAAGGTGGTCCTGTAGTGACCTTCCTTCCGCCATGCGATGAGAATACAACCTCTGCTTTAGAGTCAGTTTGCTCGTCAACCTCTTTGTCATGCACAACTGTTCCAACTTGAGCCACAAAGCAGCCGCTGTCTTCTCCTTCAAAACATCTTGCAGCAAATTGTTGGATAAAGGAAGTTGGATTTGCGCTAAAGCCTTCCGATCCTTCCGTTGTTTCTCCTCCATAGACAAATTTGCTGGCATCCTATCAAAACCCATCAAAGCATCATCAAGATCCATCTGCGTCAACACAGCTTTCACCTTTACTTGCCACAACAAAAATCTTGTATTGTGATCCAATAGCGAAATTTCATACTTCAACGAATTCATCTCTAAAAAATCTCAATCAAATCAAGTAGAACTTGCAACCTGCAACACCCAAAATTGAAAACTACCGAACGTGCAAAGGGCAAAATAGTTTAGAACCATAATTTTGCCCAAAACTGAAATTGGATACCACCACAAGGTCCGTCTCGTTGTCTAGAGAAAACTGTCTGAAGACACTGTCGTCGGAAACCACCGCACACGCCGAGTTCCACCGCCGGCGACTGGCCGAAAACTCGCCGACGACCTGTGACCCTTTCTGGATCATTTCTGTCTGCTGAGTCCACTGGTGGTGTTTATTTCTCCAAACTCTTTTTGGTTTGACCAGAAAACGCAAAAATAGATCCGGCAGAAAATCGAAAAATTGGACAGATTCGTTTTCTGATTTTCTGGTAATTTTCAGACGATTTTTCGATCAGTTTCAGGCCAAAAATCCACCAACAACCCCGCTCTGATACCACTTGTTGAGACCGATTGACCAATAATGCAGGAATTGAGATTTAATGAATACAGCTTTTTGTAATTGAAGTATTGAATAATATCACAAATAATCCAAGAACAAGATTAAAGTAAGTAAAAGAAGAACTGACAGAAGGAACGATGTTTTATTAATTCACTATGAAAGGGGAGCACAATACAACAAAAGGCTTCTAACAATACTAAAAGAGGAGTCCTATATTTATAGTACACGAGTCTTGGCAAAATATGAAAATTAAAAGAAAAAAACGTGTAAAAAAATCTACCCATGGCACACATATTTTTCTTCCTTATTCCTTTGATTCTTTCCATATTAACGTGTCTCGGATTTGGATACCAATTGATCCCATTTCCTTTTGTCTACCACTTTGATATTTCCAAGTTTAAGGATCACAGGCAATCTTCAATATTTCCTTATTTTGAGGCACAAATTCAACAGAAATGTCTCCACTGTTCATTAATCTTCTTGATGTCGAATAACAAACTCGAGAATTTATGTACATTCGTGTTATATATGCTTAATGTAAGAAATGTTAGAAATATAAGTTATACATGTGTTCTAATTAATGAACATGTACAATGGATTCATGTACTGGTTGTTCATGTATGTTGATATTTTACTGAATCGCTTTAGAATGAAGAATGTAATAATGGTGAAAACATGTACTTGATTAGGTACATTCTTTGTAAAGCCTATAAAAGGCTTGTGATTCTAGTATTTGTACAAGCATATTCAAAAAATAAAAGCTGAATGTTCTCTTGAATTTATCCTCTCTCCTTTCTTAAAGTTATTTCATCGTTTCCAACAAAAGTGGTATCGGAGTGAGGTTGTACAAGTGTGAGAAGAAGAGATGGCAAACAACAACTCTCTTTCAGTTCCTCAACTCTCATATGACAATTATAGTACGTGGTACATCCGTACGAAGGCATATCTTGAAAGTCAAGATATATGGGACTTGGTAGAGAGAGATTTTGAACTTCAAAATGATGAAGGCTTGTGTCAAGCCCAAAGAGACTTGCAACAAACAACTAAGAGGAAGGATCAAAAGGCTGTAAGTGTGATCTATCCAGTACTTGATGATACAATTTTTCAAAAGGTTCTAATACTACTACCCCAAGGCAAGCATGGGAGATTCTTGAAAACACCTACACAGGTGCAACCAAAGTAAAAATGGTTCGTTTTCAATCTTTGAGGGGAGAATATGAAGGGGACGAAGTGGAGAAGAAATGAATGATCTTCAAGCGATCAAATTTTTTTCGGTCTTTACATGAAAAATTCAATTTTATTGTTGTGGCAATTGAAGAGTCGAAGGATTTGAAAGAAATGACTATTGATTAAGTCATGGGCACCTTACAAGCTGAGAAGGAGAGGTTAAAGAAGAAACAACAACTGGTAGAACAAGTCTTCTTTTGAAGACAAGAAGAAGAAATACAGTAGGAGCCAATGAGAAACAGGACGTGGAATAGGTCAAGGAAGAGGAGATAGAAATTTCCAAAAAATCAACAACAATAAAGGGACTTATCAACACTAATTCGAGAAGACGAGGAAGACAAAATTATCAAAGAGGAGGAGAAAGAAGAAACAGTGGTGGAAAATATGAATCTCTCAAGTCGAATGTTACAACTGTCACAAACTTTGACATTTCGCATGGGAGTGTAGGAATAATAATGTTGAGGAGTAGTCCAATTACATTGAAAAGACAGAGGAGAAGGAACATTACTCTTGACATACAAGGTGCAAGAAGGAGGTAACTATTCTTGGTATTTAGACGTTGGTGCAAGTAACCACATGTGTGGAGCCAAATCTATTTTCATGGAGCTTGAAGAGGTAAATAGCCATGTCACATTTGGAGATGCATCAAAGGTTGAAGTCAAGGGAAAAGGTAATTTTTTTATTCAAATGAAGAACGGAGAACACCAATATATTTCCAATGTCTATTATGTTCCTTCTATGAAAACAAATATTCTGAGCTTGGGCTAACTTTTGGAGAAGTGATACGACATCCAAATGAGAAATTAACAAATGATAATTCCAGAACAAAACAGGAACTTGGCTATGGCATTTGAGTAAAAATTCTAATTCAGTTAAATGCTTGAATGCATGTATCAAAGATTCAACATGGCTATGGCATTTGAGACTCAAACATCTAAATTTTGACAGTTTGAATCTCTTGGCGAAAAAGAACATGGTGAAGGAAATGCCACATATTCATCAACCAAATCAACTTTGTGAATGATGTCTCTATGGGAAGCAATTTCGAAAGGCTTTTCCAAAAGAAGCAAGTTACTGAGCAACAAAGCCTCTTGAATTGGTGCATACAAATATTTATGGTGTAAAAATAATTATTTCATGTTATATATTGATGATTTTTCTCACACAACTAGGGTTTATCTTTTAGAGAAAAGGCTGA